GTTCATAACCCACCTGAATCAAACTGTGAAATATGATGTATTAAGAACTATGTAATGTTTTGAACGACCAACAATAAATAAAAAAAAAAAAAAAAAAAAGGATCAGTTCCATGGAGGAATAAGTCAGAGTGGCAAGAAGTCGATGTGCGAATGGACCTGGGAGCCACCATGCTCCAAGAAACACAGTACCACAGAAGGCTGCTATAAGCCATCTTAACTAAAATAATTCCTCACTAACACAGGTATTTTCAGTTTTCACAACTTCAAGCAAATAACACCATAAATTTATGTCAAATTGACTTCACCTAGGTGGAAAAGTATTTTTTGAGATACAAATGAAAATGAAGAGTGCTGATCTGCAAGCATATTATGTCTGAAATAATGCTTATTTTCTGACTTAAAAATGCATGTGTGGGCACAGTAAGAGAGAAAGCCTGAAGGCCAGGCTGTGCTGCAGGATGCTCAGAGGCAGGCACAACGTCTACTGCTATGCAGGTATGGACTGGTGACATGGCAGGCTTCCCCACCTGGGCACAAATTGGCTTATTTGGTCCAAAAAGCAACTAGGCTTCCAAACATCAAGGTGAGATATCAAAAATTAAACTAAACAAAATCAGTGGATAAGCTAGGCACTGTAACATCTGACCTCCTAGGGACTCATGCAGCTGAAGCAGGAGGATTACAAGCTCAAGGCCAGTCTGGGCAACTGAGTGAGACCCTATTTCAAAATAAGAAAGGGCTAGGGGTGCAGCTCAGTGAAAGAGCAGCCCTGAATTCAATCTCCCATATCCCCGCAGAAGGCAACAGAAACTTATGTTCAGGCATAAACAGCTGGAAAAGGGGCACCCATCTGATATGGCACTGCTTGAATTCACCACCATTCCCTGGGGCAGCTGAGGAGTATGCAGACTCCCCTCAGGACCAGCCAGGAGGCCCCGGAGTGGAGCCAGCCAGCACAAGCCCCACTGCTGGCTGCTCCTCCACATGGCTCTCTCACCATCTGATGGCAGGTAAAGATTGGAAATGGCTCCAGGCTTACTCACTGCATCCACAGCTCCGCCCATCAAAATAAATTCCTTTGTGATAATTTCTACCATATCCCGAACCTACAAAGAGAAGGAGATGAGGGTGCACATCAGCCTGCTGACCCCACAAGCAAGACCCTGGTCTGCGGGCTGCTGGCTATGCCTCACCTGTCTTGGGTCGGCGCTAGCATGAATGCACAAGAGGCCAGTGTCTTCATAGCTATGATGGTAGGAGGTCGCATTGTACATCCAGTGGTGCCTGAGGGAACATGAGGTGGCTGGGCAAAGGTGTATGGCTAGTGCCAGGCCTCGGGAAACTGGTCCAGACACATGGTAGCCTGAGAACAGCCCTGTCCACTGAAGGTCACCAACCTGTTGAGCACGTTGAGGTAGAGCCTGGAGAACATGCCCTTGCCTGGCCCACCAGCTGAGAAGGAGCCCCCTCCTCCCATCATCATGTTCAGCACAGCGAAAGGGATAAAATCTTCCTCCTGCAAGGACGGGGACAGCGTTTAGGCCAGGGCAGACTCGCCTCCTCGATTATGCTGCCTGACCCAGGACTGCACTCACCAGGAAGGAGCAACTCTCAAGCCCCACCATGATGTGTGTGAGCTCTGGGATAGGGGTTGGGCCAAGGCTGACGTTGGACATGTCTCTCTCTAGCTGTAATCAAGAGCAAACGAGTGTTATGCAGAAATCCAGTGAAGACTTGGCAGTGAGTACACGCTGTGCTCAAATGTCCTGAGGCTCAACTGAGACCTGATGAACTCCTTCAAAAATAGGATGTGTTTGTTCTGTCGTGGGACTACACTGTACACTAAAGTAAGAGTGTAAATGCAAACACCACGGGGCAGGATGCATACCTGTGATCCCAGCCTTAGCAATTTAATAAGACCCTATATCAAAAAGGACTAGGGAAAGCCAGATGGAGCGGCACAGGCCTATAATCCCAGCAGCTCAGGAGGCTGAAGCAGGAGGATGGCAAGGTCAAAGCCAATCTCAGCAAAAGCAAGGTGCTAAGGAACTCAATGAAACCCTGTCTCTAAATAAAACACAAAATAGGGATGTGGATGTGGTTCAGTGGCCGAGTGGCCCTCAGTTCAAACCCTGGTACCCCTCCCCCCAAAAAAGGGCTGGGGATGGAGGTCAGTGGAAGAGCACCCCTGGGTTTAATCCCCTGTAAAAAAGCAAACAAACCCACAATACACCAAAAGCACATGCCAGAGAAATGCAAAGTGCAAGATCCCCAGAGCTCCCATCACTACCTTGACAATCCCCCCGGTGTACTGCGCTACAGATCTGTCCACCTCCACAGCCCCAGCACTCCCCCAGGCTGGCTGGGCTCTAAGCAGGTACTTTTCAGCACATTCCACCAAATGCTCATGTTCAACGCCCACTCCAGCCAGAACCATGCGGTCAGGGGTGTAGTAGTTCCTCAGGTAAGAATGGAGCACTTCTCGGTCAATCTTGGCTATGTTTTCTGAAGGGCAGAAACGGTGGAGGCCCACAGTGTTCCCCCTGTACGCAGCCTGAGAGGGGGACAAAGGGAAACAGACACACAGAGAATGTAGGCGGTTCCTGCTCAACCTCTGGAAAACCCAATGCAGGCTGGGGAGTTCAGCTGCAGTCTGGCAGTAGCAGCTCACAAAAAGAGCAAAATAGGAGGGTCATTCTACAGACAAAAATAGTAAAGGTTTTGTAACTGTTGGAAGTGGAAGATGCAAACATCACACTGCAGGTTCAGACATCAGGACTGTCCTGTAGGAGGTTGGGGCTGAAGCTCCACAGTAGAGTGCTTGCCTAGCACAAGCCCTGAGTCCAATCCCCAGCACCACAAAACAATTAAAGACCATGTCTCAACTGTTCCATAACCTGTGAGGACAACAGCAGGGACCTCCCACCCACCATGTGTGAGAAGCCCCCATGAGAATACGGGCACATGTGGGTTCATGTTTTACTTCATGAATCATCTCAGTGAGAAGTGGTTCAGGGTCAGGTCGCATGTTCAGGTCCTCCAGCTCAAACTGGACAGCCATCCGTGTCATCTCTATTTCTTCATCTGCAAGGGAACCCAAAGACAAAGTTCAGTCTGCACAGTGGCATGTGCCCCAGGCAGCAGAGTAGGGCAGAGGTTCTGTGTTGGTGGCATAATGGTGCCTCTGCCTCCATCAAGGGGCAGCCCGAGGGTACCCAAGTGAGTGAAGGGAAGGCCAGGCAAACAGAAAGCAGAAACCAGGACCTACTGACCCCTCTGCCATGAAGCAGTCACTTGAATATGATCCACACCTCTGCTGCCTCACCTGTAAAAGGCCCTGAAGACACCTGACCTGAGTGTCAAGGCACAGCTGTAAGGACACCAGGCCCAGCACAAAGGCACTTAGGAAACAGACACAGACCCAGGTCAGGGTGCCATTCCATCAGCTGCCACGGTCAAGAGGATCTTAGGGCAGGACCCTGGCCTCAGGGCACTGAGGCCCGCTGCTGACACAGCACCTGCCAGATCCCTAGGACAACCTGCACCCCTCCCTGCTGGAACTTCAGGTCCTGCAAGTCCATCTGCAAGGCCAAGGACAATGGTGGCCACCATGAAAAATTCTGATAGTGTGCCAGTCAAGGTGTTTAAGGGTAAGTTTAAAGAGCATTTCTTTTCTCTTTTGGTGCTGAGGATTAAACCCATGGTTACTTTGCCACTGAGTCACATCCCCAGCCCTTTTGTTATTTAGAGACAGGGTCTCACTAAGTTGCTAAGGGTCTTGTTAAGTTGCCCAGGCCAACCTAAACTTGCAATCCTTCTGCCTCAGCCTCCCAAGTCATTGCACATGACTTGAACATTTCTGAAATTTCACTAAAAATCTCAAAGGGCCTAGAGAGATGAGTCAAAGCACTAAGCCCTAAGATGCCAAAGATTTTTCTTTCTTTTTTTGGTACCAGGGATTGAACTCAAGGGCACTGAATCACTGAGCCTCACCCCCAGCCTTATTTTGTATTTTATGTAGAGACAGGGTCTCATTGAGTTTCTTAGTGCCTCGCCGTTGCTGAGGTTGGCTTTGAACTTGCAATCCTTTCTCGGCCTCCGAGCTGCTGGGATTACAGGTGTGTGCCATGGTACTCAGTGCCAAGGATTTTTTTCCTCTTCATTTTGGTGCTGGGAATTGAATCCAGGGCCCATTGCATGCAAAGCACACACTCTGCCACAGAGCTACAACCCCAGCCTCACCAGCATCATCCCCAGTGAAACTGTACCAACAATGTGGGGCTGTTCCTCCCAGGTGTGGCCCTTTAACAGTCCCTCTGGCTCCCCACCACCCTGACCACGTGCTTACTAGATCCATACCTGTCAGGCGGGGGTGCAGAGTCACCTCAGCCAGCAAGCCGACCACAGTGTCCAGGCCTTTACTGTCAGCAGACACAGCATACATGGTGGTATCTCTGGGAAGACAGCAATGTCAGGTTCTGGGGTCAGGCTCTCAAGCTTTCCTCATCAGCAGGGATTTTCCATCATTTGGTTAAAAACCAACAGACACTTCCTTTCCCTCTTTTTATATGGTACAGGGGACTGAACCTGGGGCTTCGAGCAAGCGAGGCAAATACTTGCTCCCAAGATACACCCAGCCTTTTCTCTTCCCTCTCCCTAGGGCATGGAGTCCAAGCAAGAAGAGCCACAGCGGCAGGCAAGGGAAGCTCTTCAGTAAAGGACACTGTTGAATCAAATGGAGCCAACCCTACCAAGGTTTTTACAAGCCACATTGTCTTGAAAGGAGAAGCACTTTATCCTATGCTTTCTAAGCCTTGCTGAGCAACCCACTGGTCAACATTCGAACGTGSTTCAGCCTCAACAGCTTGGGGACTGAGCCTGGTGTCCAGCTGGACTGTTACTCAGAACAAGGCCCCACATTGAGAAGTGGGTGGTCTACAGCTCCACTGCCTAAGCTGGAGAGTGGGCTGCATCTGAGTCAGGAAAGGGGCCTGCCTGACCAAGAGAGGATTTACACGGGAGGAGTAGGAAGCTTGAGGCAAAGACATGGAGGACCTGAACACTAGGCTTCTTCCTTACTAACTGAATTCTTAGTGTTTGTCTTTTATGTAATTTTTTCACATTCAGGTTTAAATAATCAACCATTTTTAATAATCCATGATCTGTCTGCATCACCTCATATGGCCCAGAACTGTCTGAGCGTGCTCCACAGCTGGCAGGCAAAGCCCAATCCTCATGTCTCCACACCTATTTTCCGGCTATTCAACAAACACAGCTGGTGCCTCGGCTATGCTGGGCTGTGGCATGGCCCTACCTCATCCATCTAGCAGACCCCTTCAAAAACAATCCCAACGCCTCCTTTCCCCATTCCAGACTGTGTCTGTCACTGTGGGACACCCACCACCCTCAGCTCTTGTGCCCATGAGCTGTATGTGGCCCTCTGCTTTATTTGTAAGCATCCCGGGCACAGGGCTGCTCTGACAACAGCCAACACCCTCACTGAAGTGAGAGGCAACTGTTCTTCCAGGTACTGCTTTTCCATGTAAGACATGTCACCTGTGTTCTGCCTCCTTTCTTCACCCAACTCTGTGTCCTGGCCAGGGCTCCTTTCTCACCACTAATCTCCTCAGCCTCTCTGATGGGAGGGGCTCAGTGGGCCTCTGACCAAGGATGAGAAGGGCAGTTCCACATGGTCACAGAGTAAAGTCTCCACATAAAAGACAGTACCTTGAGGTCTGGCAGTCACAGATACCCCCGTGCTTTTCCAAAGTAAGCAGAATTTCATCTTTGTTGTCAAATCGAGCAGTAGACTAGTAAAAGTAAATAAGAAAACTTAAAGAATCCAAATCCCAAAAACAAAGTTTAAAAAAAAAAAGTAATTTCATTTCCAAAACATACAAATTATCTTCTAAATCTTTTGTTAGCATTAATTCACTAAGTCATTTATTAAAATAACTTTCCTAAAAAAAGAAAAACTGAAATACCCCTTCCTCAGCAGCCTCAAAAATTCCAAATTGAGTGCTTGAGGGCATAACTCAGTGGTAGAGCACCTGCCCAGCATGCATAACGCTCTGGGTTTGATCCTCAGTACACGCACGCACGCACGCACGCACGCACGCACACATGAAACACCAAACAAATTGAACACTGACCGAAAATGCCAATTTTTCCAAAAAGTGAGCAATTCCGCTAAAATACTTCGCTTCATATCTTGATCCTGAATTAATAAGAACTGATGACAAAAAGTAAATGGACAGGTTAAATCAGATACTCAAAATAGGAAATCTAAGTAAGACAAACTGTTCAAAGCTGTGACTATGATTTAAGTCAAAACTTCGTGAAGGTAATAAACATGCTCACCATCCTTACAGATATACACACTGTCACACTGTGAAATCCTACACTGAAATGAAAACTTACAAATCATAGAAAGGTCAAAGTTGGGGGGAGGACTATACCCTAAATGTTACCACCCAAAATGGACACTTGGCAGTTATATTTTGGTGAAGTTTTCAGGCTTGTAACGTGCTTCCACTCTAAATATGACATGCTAATTACAACCAACAATCAACAAAAGCACGCCACATTAAAATACCAGGGAACACTTGCAGCACACCATAGTACTTACTTCCTACTGTACAAAACTGTCCAAACTTATTTTGAGATGCCACTTGAAGCCCATTATCCAGCCTGGTAACTTTGGTTTCAAATTTTTCCTGTCCATCGACTGTAGCAAATACAGGCTTGGGTACTCCAGGTAAGGGAGAAGACAGAGGGATGTTGGGATAGGCGCCTCCGCTACTAAACTGTCTGTGTGCAGAGGGTCCAAACCTAGAGGAAAAGCCCAGTTACAACAAACTCAAGGCGGTGCACTTGTGAAGACTGCTTCTGTGCAGTCATGTTCCGTCCACATTAAAAGTCAACATCTCCGTTTCTGAAGATTCATCAAATTATCTTTTAAATCTTTTGTCAGCATTAATTCACTAAGTCATTTATTAAAATAACTTTCCTAAAAAAAAAAAAAAAAAAAAAACCTGAAATACCCCTTCCTCAGCAGTCTCAAAAATTCTGCATTGAGTACACAAAAGAGTGATCGAGACCCTGGCTCAGTTACCGGGCCGGAGGCCGGGAGGCTGCGCTTTTCGGGTCTTCACGACTACCACCGGGAAACAGGCTTCCAACAGGAAGTCCCTTGAGCAGCAGCTAACAGGGACAGCGTCCTCTTAGTCTAACGGAAGCCGCGGCCCCTACCTGGCCCCGAAGGCCCTGGTAGCACCTACTCGGGTTCCCCCTTGGGCTAGTTCCGGCTCGCCAAGTCCCTCCGGTCTTGGCGCCTGCTCACCACCCCCCAAGCCCCAGTTCTCTGTCCCCAGGCCTGCCCCGCGGCATGACGACTCCCCTCTTCGTCTTGCAGCTCAACGGTACAGAGGATGGTCCTTCCCGACCGCCGACGCTTCTGGGCTCAGCGACCGCCCCCGCCTGCCGCCCCGGCATGAACCGCGGGGGAGCCAGGCCCGGCAGCCCGGGACGACCGCGCGGCTCACCTGGGCCGCGGGCCTCCGGCCCCGACGCCGCGCAGCAGCCGCGCAGCCACCAGCACCGTCGCCGCCATCGCGCCCCCGCGCTTCTGCCGTCACTTCCGCTTCCGGCACGCGCCCCGCCCACACGGGCCACGGCTTCAGCGCGCTTCCGGCGCGTGAGGCGGAAGCGGCGGCCAGAGAATGGGAGCGGCGGCGGCGACGCGGCGGCGGGCCGTAGGGCCGCGGCCCGGCTAGGCCGCCGCGGCGATGTCGGGCTACGCGCGCCGCCCGGGTGCGCCCCCGCTGTCCAGGGCCCGGAGCCTCGTCGTTCCCGACGGTGAGGGGCCGCCGCGGCCGCGGGGGGAAGGGGCGGGGGCCTGGCCGGCCCGCGGTGAAGCCGCTCTCCTTATCGCTTTCAGCTGCTGCGTTCTATGAGCGCCGGTCTTGTCTCCCCCAGCTAGACTGTGAGCGCCCCCATGGCGGGGACCTGCACCCGCATTTCTTCGGCATTCGGCCGACATTTATGTGCTATGTCCCCAGCCCGGTGCTGGCTTCCGTGGGAGACACAGGTGAGAGTCGGGGCGCCGGCTGCCCGAGCCGCGGACCCAGCAGGGAGCCCTGAGCGCGCACTGAGTGCCGCCCGGGAGTGCGCCCCCCGAGCTTACAGTCTGGTTTCGGGGAGCACCCGCCCCCAGGCTGACAGCCCCAGTGCAGGAAGGTCAGTGTGCAGTGGAGCAGGGAGATCACCCGACCTTCCCGGTGGGGGCGAGGACTGGGGCTCTTCCTTCAGTTGGGGAGTTGGAAGCGAGCTGGAGCACTTTCTCCTTGTGGTGGCTAGATCTAGTTCATCCTCATTCCGTCTAGACAGTTGTGGTGCAGATGGTTATGTCAGGGTCCCAGTACCTTTAGGGGCATCACAAGACAGGAGCTGCACCCAACCCAGATGGGCACCGGAATTCACAGGGAGTGCCTTCACAGTCCCAGGCTGCCAGACTGTATGGGAGCCAAGTCACCTGCCTGGGCCAGAGCCCTGGCGCCTTGTCCCCTGAGTTTCTTTTTAGTGAGAACCTCTGTTGATAGACTCCAAGCCCCTCCCTCCCCAAGCACATAAAGCTTCCTATAATCTTGGTAGAGTGACAATGTCTTTTTGCAGATTTTGGCTATGGAAAAGGGAAATGTACTAAGCAAGGCCCAGCAGGAGCTCACGAGACCCATTTTGGAGGTAGAGTAGCTCAGTGATCCTTTCTTTTTCTTTCCATCCACCACATAGTGCTAGGCACATGTCTGGCCACGGGTGGTCAATATGACAGGATACAAGGGGTGTACCTGGAGCCCAAAAGAGCAGGTGGGGGTAGGATGCCATCTTGACCCTAGAGAAAGAGAGGGTGTGAGGGCAGGGAAACCTAAGACAGGATGTCAGGAAGATGGGGCAGTCCCACCCAAGAAGCACGAAGAGGCAGCAGGGCAGGGATTATAGGAACCCTATATATGAGATTGGCACCTGGAAGAGGTTCAGTTAACAGTGGGTTAGGTGTGGCAGTTAGGTGTGGGATAGTGGGGGACAGTGGGTACAGAGGTTGGAGGAAGGATTGAGGCAGAGCAGTTACCAAGTCTTGTAGCACATGAGCTTTGAAGCCCCACACCAGTGTCTAGTTGTGGAGTAGAGGCAGCCTGGCCCATCATAAAGATGCCCTGGGTGTAGCTCATTGACAGCACTTGCCTAGCATGTGTGAAACCCTGGATTCAATCCCCAGTACCACCGGAAAAAAAGAAAAAAAAAAAGAGAGATTCCCAAGGGGTTCCTGTGGGATTCCAGGAATGAGAAATGGAAAGAATTGAGATCTGTTTATTGATCCCTTTTCTGGCAGTTCTTGTTTACTGGTATCATCTGAGTCACAGGGTACAGAGGATGGCATTCTTGAGATGATGTGGTCATGCTTGGAAGAGAGGACTTGGAGGGTTCCCCTTTAACAGTCTCCCTGATGTCCATTCTTTCAGATGACAAACTGGAAGACCTTGAAGAGGCAAATCCATTCTCCTTTAAAGAGTTTCTGAAAACCAAGAACCTTGGTCTGACGAAAGATGACACGACCAATAGCAGAATTTATCCAAAGGTAAGTCTGAGGAGTTGCCCTGGCACTTCAGAGGACGTCTCTCTATGTTGTGGTGCTTTGGATGAGACATGTGAGTATGTGGGGCAAAGTAAAGCAGCTGCTGCTGCTGCTGAGGAGGGGGCATTGTGGGTTTCATCAGCTATTTGGCCCCTTTGGCAACAGATGGGCCTTTCTTGTCATGTTCCAGGCTGAGCATAGAGAAAGAAAGGTGAGCAGTGGCTTCCAGGTCTCAGTGTTTGCCTCTATTGTTTTTAGGAAGCCTCAAGGCACTCATTGGGACTGGACCACAGCTCTCCCACCCCCCAGACTGTGGGGTATGGCCTGGAATATCAGCAGCCATTTTTTGAAGACCCCACAGGGGCTGGCGACATCGTGGGTGAGGAGGAGGAAGATGAAGACAGTGGGTGGAATGGGGCCTATTTACCATCTGCTGTGGAAAAGACTCACTCCTCCAGGGCCA